AGAGAGAGAGAGAGAGAGAGAGAGAGAGAGAGAGAGAGAGAGAGAGAGAGAGAGAGAGAGAGAGAATTAGAAATGGGAGGATAACTGGTGTGTGTGTGGGCGGGCGTGTGTGATTTGACCTGACATCAATGGGAATGTGCGTGTTCGATCACAGGCTTCTTGCTTCCTGTGGATTTACAGGGACCATACCACATGAGTTAGGGCAGTTGAAGATGTTGAACGTGCTTGACCTGCGGAACAACCAGCTCACTGGGAGGATCCCCTCATCACTAGAAGATCTGCCAAACCTCAGGGGACTGTAAGTTTGTCTTTGCAGTATTCACTCACCAATGCCTGATAATTGATTTCTGAATCCAGCTCTGAGTGATGGGTTCATGAATGGCAAGCAAAAGTCACCACAACACCTGGTGGTGGAGATTGTAAATGGTCGTCGTTGTCAGAAAGCCATCATAGGTGGTCTGTGGAGGTGGTATTCTGTGGGATCTGTGTAACACTCAGGGGGAAGTACTTTGAGTGCCTTCCGTTTCTGAAGAGAGGTCTAGGCCTAGAGGAGTGACTCTGTTGCACTCACATGTGTGGTATTGGAAGAGCGCTCTCCATGCCTACCGTCTTCACCCAAATAGAACGTCCAGTCATTATCGCTGCATCTGGACTGAAAGTTGGGCCAAATGCAGCTATAATGACCGGGCGTTCTATTCGGGTGAAGACGGTAGGCAGCTTGAGTGTTCCTCAGCCATCTCGGTTTTCAACTAGGTGACCGCAGGCACTGATTCTTGCTGACCAGTCAATGGTTTGGAATTATTGTTTGAGAGAGTTTGGCAGTGTGATCTTGCCACATCCCCCTGCTCTGAAAGTGTGTGTGTGTGTGTGTGAGGAAATCATTTTCGATATATTGAGTTTAAGACTTGGAACAGAGGGTTGAGCCACTATTCTGGCAATATATTTTTGGGGAGAGAGAGAGAGAGAGAGAGAGAGAGAGAGAGAGAGAGAGAGAGAGAGAGAGAGAGAGACAGCTGGTGGGTGCTACTGTATCGCTGTATGATTGGGAGGGAGATTCCGCCCGTGTATCTTTTTTGCCTGTTCTTTGTGTTTACTAGGCTGTTGAGTTCATTTGGTAGTTTGTGGTCTAGGCGTGTTATACAATCCAGCTTTTCACAACTGAATGACAATCACTTATTTAAAGTTATTTTAAGTTATTTATGGATTGCCATTTCAAATTGTTCGGACAGAACCATTGTTATTTCAAATTGTGATCCCAATTTCCTTCAGATCATGGAAAGCAAGCAAGCTGTTGGGGACTTGGAGAAGGAACCACATTGTTACTCTGCAGAATGGAGTGGAGCCATAGCCCTAGGCCTATGTTTCTTTTTCTTCTTTAAAAAAGCATAGAGAAAAGGAAAAAGAACGTAGGATGGATATGGATGGTGGTGCAAACGTGAGGAAGGTTTGTCAACATCATGGAGCCAGCATACAACCTGCTGCGGACAACGGGTATGGATGGTGGCGCCCACACCAATCCAGTGGAGTTTGATGGTAGCACATCCCCAGTTTCACCTTCCATTCGGAAGAAGGGCAAGGCAATAACCTGTAAAGTTATAAACTAAGCATAAATTTACAAGTCAACTAAAATCATACAACAGTACCATGCGGACATCCGGACGTGCATCCAGACGGTCTGGGGTCCAGTGTCTAGATGCCGGACCGTAGGAGGCCCGTCCGGAGGGGGCCAAAACCCCAAAAATCAGAAAAAAAGGGAGGCACCCTGGACCTGTTCCTCGGGTCCAGGGCAACCCCCCAAAAATGTTTCGTGGATTTTTGGGGCTGGTATTCGTCACACAGGGCGGCTGGACCAGCCCCTTTCTCACTTCCCGCTCTCACTGTGCAGAGTCGTGCAGACCGTTGGCGGGTCCAGGCAAACTTCGTAATTTGCCGCTCGCCCTACCATCTGCCCTTCCATGTGCTATCGGCTGACACACACGCACACCCACACACACACACACACACACACACAGAAAGCAAGGGTGGTACTGGCGGGCGTTAGCGAGCACGCACACACACACGGAGAGAAAGAGAGCCGTCATGACTTGCCACGCTTCATCAGGTGTGAGTGGCGGTGTGAGTGGCGCACAGCAAGGGTGGTACTGGCACGCGTTAGCAGGCGGGGGGGGGGGGGGGG